ATGTAAAACTTAAATGACACTGAATATTAATAACATCTGCAATATCAAAGCCATTTTGGGAATTTGTGATTCTTTCATGAAAGATACAGATTTTTTTTCACTTATAAATAGTTCTTTAACAAAGACCATGTTGACAGCAACAGGTGTCACACAAAAGCAGATTAAGGTGGGATCACCAGAAAGACTTTATTGTTGCGTACACCCCTGGGTTAAGTAAGGTGCTAAGGGCTTTCTCAGGCATAATCTCATTGCTGTCTTTCTATAATGAGATTCATGTTTGGAAAAATTATTAAAAGGAAAACTATCTCCAGATAAACCAGGGTGTTAGCTTTCTGTTATTATAACAAAAGGTGGTAGACAATAAACTTAAAGAAAAAAGGTTTATTTGGGCTTACAGGTTTGGAAGTTTCTTTCTTTTCTTTTTTAATGACACTGATTCTTCTTGGAGGCTGTGTTTGTGACACTAAGTAAGCTATCTATGCAAGTTTCAAGGCTGGGTCTGCTGGCCCTTTTGCTTTGGGGCCTGAGGTGAGGCAGCTGGTCATGGCAGAGGTATGTGGTGGAGAGAGGAAGAGGACGACCAGGGCACCACAGTCCTCGGGGAGGGCACACAGCTGAGGCCTCTCTTGGGGACTCCCCCCCCCCGACAGTTCCCCAGCCCCTCACGGCGTCACGCTGGGAGCACTGTGTGGCAGTGCTGTCTGATTCAGGGCTGGCAGCCAGGTCCTCCACACGCCCTGTGAGGGCCAGTGCCCAGCCCATGGAGACCTGTCTGCGTCCGTCTCTTGCTTTTTCTTACTTGGTGCTGGAGTTCTCCTGTGGACCTGCACTGAAGCACACCTGGGGGCCCAGCGCCCCCTCTGTGCACTTGCCCTGCTCATGTGGAGGCTGAGGACTTTCAGATGGAATCATGTTTTAAAGGCGATGGGTGATGGCAGGCAGCTTGACTGCCGCTTGACTCAAGTTTCAGTCGCTTCTCAGGAGCTCCACCTGAGTTCTGCAGACACCATGCTCCTGGAGAGTGGCTGCCCCTCTGTGAGGTGCCCTGGCGGACCTCGTGTTGTAATGGGGTCTGCTTGTTTTGATGGCTGTCAAGCTTCCTAAATGCTGAAGGGATGATTGCACTTAGACACTTAAATCTCATTAACCCAGAACTTGGAGGAAGTGGATGGAGACAGCCAGATGCTGGAACACTGGGTAAGTTGAGCTGGGTAGTTTACCAGGAGAGTTCCCGTGGAGACCTGCGAATTCTTTTGCATGTGCTTACTGTTAAAAGCACACCCCCATGTCATCCCGAACCTTACAAGCACAGAGTAGAATGCTGATACCACATTTTTGTGTGTTGATGTGCCATTTTGAATCTTAGGGGTTTTTTTCCCATAAAATTATCATGTATCATATTGAGTTGTCAGAATAAAAAAAAACTTCTGGTATCAATTGCTTTAAAGTATTTTTTCTTTGCTCTTTTATTTTGCTATTTCTTATATTTTAAAAAATATTGTATGATAAAGATAGTTGGTGGATGAAATTATTGAGCAGGAGAGAGACCTTTTTCCGGAGGTGGGGAAGTTGGTCCTCTGAGATCACCCAATGCCCCTGCAGGTGACTTGTCAGGGAAGCAGAGTCCTGAGGTGAGGACTCACTTAATTGGGGATCTTTTCTTTCTGCCAAGTGTTAATTGGATGCAGCATGGGGCAGGAGGGAGGTGGGCCTGGCTGCTGGGAGCCAGGTGGAGACAAGTGCAGCTGCCGTGAGGTCCCTCAGGCTGCAGTGTCACAGCCAGTGTTGGGGAAAGGAGCCCGACCTCTTCTGTCTCCCCGAGAGCTGGCCCTGCCTGGGAGGGAGGGGCCTATGTATTTGGCCTTTGTCGATGGGGGGTGTAGGGAACAAAGGACACACTCACTAGCGAAGTCTGATCACTGAACGGGTTAAGGGTCTGGGGAGGGCTCTGCTGCTCGGTAAGAAGCCTCGCTTCAGAGCAGCCCTGCACTCTGACAGCTAGCAAGTAAGGGCACTGGGCCGCACTGGGCCGTCAGGCTGGGGTGGGATGGTGTCCCTGCAGCAGGGACAGGGGACAGGCACCCTGAACCTGAACCTGCATAGCTCTGCCTTGACGGTCAGCTCTTGAGGTCTGTGCCGCTTCCCATACTGTCCACCCTCAGGACAGAGTTCTGGTCTTCCTTGGTTTTCCCAGAAGCCAGCAGCAGGAAATGCTAGCGACTGGCTGAGGAGTGGGTGTGCAGATCTTCTGTCAGTGAGTCAAGATTAGCTAGAAACCCCGTGTGCATTACATCATGAGTTCCTGGTTAATGTTTTCCCCCTCAGGTTTACTTGACAGTGGGCCTCAACACAGTAGTCAACCAGCCCACCCTGCCCGACCCCAGCCTTTGCATGACTCTGGGATTTGTGGGGTTTTGTGAGCATGGAGAGGCTGATTTTGCTGCCTTGCAGCTGCGCACTGTATAAGAACGGTATTTTGACTCTGCTGGGATAAGGGCTGAGAGCGCTTTGCTGCTGTTTGGTCTGGCATCAGATGCTCTAGCTTCTTTTCACAGGGCAGGAGCCGCAGGCTTTCCTGCTGTCCTTTCCCAGTGCATCTCCACGCATGTTGGTTGTCATTCACTAAATTGTAACAAGTTGCCATTGATCATTACCAGGAGATTTTTTTTGTTGCTGTTACATATTATGAATATTTCTTCTGGACTTTTGGCTGGTTTTTTTCAGGCAGTTGCCTTCTCCAGACCCACACATGGTGTATTTTACTCTTTGGTGGGTTTCAATCTGCATGTCGATGAATTTACTTCTTTGGTCTTTGTTCTGACTATGGGCTTCTTATCTTGCTCAGGAAACCCACCTCTCTCTCTCTCTCTCTCTCTCTCTCTCTCTCTCTCTCTCTCTCTCTCTCTCTCTCTCTCTCTCTCTTTCTCTCTCTCTCTCTCTCTTCAAGGCTATCAGAACTCTGTGCCTATTGTTTTAATTTCCTGTCTTCTCATGTCTTCTCAGAGTTCTTCCTTTCCTTCCCCCTTCCTTCCCTCCACCCCTCTTTTGTCTTTAAACCATCTGCATTTTGTTTTTATTTCTGTTATGAGTTGGGGATCTAATTTTATGATTCCCATATTGGTTCCAGTGAATTGTACCCACTGTGGTATCCCTTTATAGACCTTCTTTCCTGGCACTTGTCTCAAGGCAGAGATCCATCCTGGGCCTCCATCTGGACCTCCCCTCCTTCTCCAGCCTGCTGCCCTCTCATTCAGGTTTCACCTTTGCCTTCCCTTAAACACAGTGGTCTGCCAAGTTTTCTTAAAAAGTGGTCTGCCAAGTTTTCTTAAAGGGTCACACAATAAATTTTTTAGACTTCACATCTCATCAGTGGTGTGATGTCTCACAAAAGCAGCCTTAGACCACAATTTAGGAGCAAGTTTGGCTTTGTTCCAGTGAAATTTTGCTTTTCAACAATGAAATTTATATTTTATTTAATTTTTATAACAAATCCTATTCTCTTATTGTTTCCCCAACCATTATAAAGTGTAGAAGCCAGTCTTTACTCAGGGCCTTGTAAAGCATGGGCATGCAGGACTGGCCAGGTGGCAGGGCCTCTTCTCTCCTGATGTGCTTCCTCCCCCTGGAGAGGAGCCTGGGGTCTCAGGCACACAACTCAGGCAGTTGCCTTCTGCAGGCCCATACTGGTGTGTGTGCTGGCTGTATCAGCCAATACCTGCCCTGTGCGTTCTGGAAATTGCTCGTAGTGCTACCTAAGCTGAGCTCTATTTACTGTGGAGATGCTAGCGACTGGCATTGGCACAGACATGTTTCCTTTGGTTGGAGAGAACCTCTTCCACTGTGAGTAGCTCTCAATGTCTGAATTTCTTTGCAGCCTGTGGACACCTAACTACTATAAGATCAATTTGCCTTAAAATACTTTTCTAGAAACATCAATGCTTTCTCTGCCCCAAATGCTTTGTTCAGCACACTACAACATTTCTGTGAAACACTAAAGTGTATGAAAACACTTGGAAGTGCTTGCCTCTGATTGTGTGTGTCTCCACCACAGGAGCCTGAGGCCCAGGGGGGAGGTCATGGGCAGAAGGCCATGGGGCCACCGCTTTATAATCTGTGATGAAAACAACATGTAGCTATGAATTAACTCCATAAATATTCTTTCTAAAATCATTTTTTAAAATTTTTCTTCAATTTAAAAAGTTGCAAATATAAATGCTGAAAATCTAAAACTTAAAAAAGCTAAAAGAGGCTAGAAATGCAGTTTGTAAAGTCATTCAGCATGTGACAGCGATCTCAACCTTCCCTGGAATCTGGGGTTCTAGAATATGCTATCACTTTGAATTGTGGAAGAGGTAAATTTAGTACGAATGAATTAGTGCAAAGACATTTTGTTAGAAATGGGTTGTCCGTGAGTAACAGAGAGCTGACAGCAGCCACCCTGGGACAGCGGTAGGCTGGGCCCCCACCTGGAGGCTGGCTGGGTGGTTCTCAGCCAAGGGCCCAGGTTCCTTCCTGCTGCGGTCTGTCATTCCTGACCTGGTACCTTGGAGCCCAGCCCCACAGCTGCTGCTCAAGCTCTGCAGCAGCCCCTGGTCCAGTGGGGCAGAAGGAGTGGAGCAGGGAACATCCTGGAAGTGGTACAGGCAATTCTGTACCTAGATGTCCTTGGAGAAACTCAGTCCTTGTGCAGAATTCTAAAACAGCTCTGGAAGTGGGTGGTTGCGACAGTTTCCCTACACAGAATGCAGTGGCTCCCCTGGACACTTAAAATGGTTAAAAAGGTGCATTTTACATTGTGCATCTAGAGGAAAGTGTGGATAGCCATTGCCCTCTTAAAAATGTGAGGCTCCATTGCTGGTGAAGAAAAGCAAGATCAATGTAGGGAATAGCTAGCAGACTCAGAAATAAAGAAAACAACAAAGAAATGCAAAAAGTTGTGCCATGGAGAGAATTTATAGGTAGAGATTGATAATGATTATGGGTTTACCAGATACAAAAAAATGTCAGGTCAACCTTTGCTATTGAACTCAGAATTCTTCTTTTTCTGTTTGTTCAGTGGCGTTGCTAAGGCATGGACTCAGGCGTATTTTGGGGAAGGATCTGGCCCCATAATGTTGGATGAAGTGCGCTGCACCGGGAATGAGCTTTCCATTGAGCAGTGTCCCAAGAGTTCCTGGGGAGAGCATAACTGTGGCCATAGAGAAGATGCTGGAGTGTCCTGTGCACCTCTGATAGGTAAGATCTCATGTCCAGCCCCTGCCTCCAGCCGCTGGACATACTTGAGTGGCCCTTCTCAATTCAGACAATGCTTCCAAATGAACATCATAACTCTTCCAAATAAAAATGAAAAGTCTAGCGCAAATTATATATTGAGGTGTTAGCTTCTTATCCATAGATATTTCTGAATTTTTAAGTTTAAGTTTAATTTTTAGTTTAATTTTTTAGCTGTACAATTGTATAAAGCTAGACAAGTAAGCAGGACTTTGTCGTATAGCACTCAGTTAGCAAGCTAGATGTGGGATGATGAATTCCAGACATTAGGTTGCAAGCCACCTTCAGTTCATCTGTTCATCAGTCTTGTCTTAGCATATGTTTACAACTGGCATAAAACATTGATGTGATTGTTGACTAAAGCACCAGGTTGGCTTTGCAATGCTCAGTTTTTACACTATTCCCAGTGCAGCATGTCTGTCACATAGGGCCATTGTCACAGGAGGTGAGTCTGACTGCAGAGTAGCATTTGTGTGCCTGCTCACCACATGGTCAGCAGGACAGGAAAAACAGGCAAGAGCTGTCACCACACATCCATTGCTTCTATGATGAAAAGAACTTGAAGGAAAAATTTCTTTCTTTAAACACCAAAAGAATAACTTCTTAGGAACTAGGGAATACGGAATTCAAATCTCTATAGACAGCTGTGCATCTGTTCTTACCAGGTCTATGATATATGCCAGCGATTGCCAAAGCACATCCCGGTCCTGGGCTGCCCTGTCTACTTCTGCAGCTGTGGCACTCAGATGAGCTTAGGTGTGTCTGAGCACTGTGCAGACAGTGACATAGTACACCGACATATGCTTCCAGGAGACCTTTCATATTCACGGACAGTATGACCTTTATCCAAGATATTCATGTTTCATTAAGAGGGGGTCAGATTATCTCAGATGGAAATGGCTTTTAAACATCATTCTAAAAAAATAAATTAATTGTACAGTGTATCTTCTTAGAAGCCTTTTATAGAATCCTCTGGGGGTTACTTATTCATTGAGTTAATAAAATTCAAATTTCTGATATGCATCATCTCTAAAAGAACAAGGGCAAGGTGTGTACCCCACTTTTATGATTCACAAACGCCTAAGGATTAATAAATGCATTGACATGGTAGATTGTTATTCACCCAGCATAGCCTTTTCTGTCTTCATAATCTGGTGTTTTTCATTCGTAGTTAGAATTTTGAACTATTTCCAAGTTACTATATTTCCTTGATTTTTAAAAATGCAAAGGACTAGAATTGCTTAGACTGTAAGTTATAGGAAATTTCCCAAACATGATTTAATCTAGGGAAGAGAGGTCCTTTGGACTTATATCAGAGTGTGTTTTTGTGCTTAGAGAATAAGAGTGCAGACCCCAGGACAGGTTCAGGCAGTGACCCCGGGTGCTAACGGAGCTTCCACAGAGCCTTGGGGCTGACCAGGGTATTTCCGGTGCCTTCTCCTGAGAGTCGACTCACTTCTCACCATAGACGGGGCCATCAGACTTGCAGGTGGGCGGGGCAGCCATGAGGGCCGCCTGGAGGTGCACTACCAGGGGCAGTGGGGCAGCATCTGTGATGACGGCTGGACCCAGCCCAACACCCGCGTGGCCTGCCGGCAGCTGGGATTCGCGTAAGGTCCACTGGTGGGGCGCAAAATGGTAACGGCACCTTGGAGGGCTTGGGGTAGCGTCCTCCCTCGTCTGCCTGCCTGCCCACTCCACAGGAGCACTGACCTCCACTACTCGCTTCCGTCCCTCCTTCCTCTTTCTAGGCCTTGCCCGTGCTGGGGAGCACTCTGCCCTGGAGCCGCACCCCAGCCCAGAACCTCCTGCCCAGTGTCCCCTTTGCCTTTCCTGCCTGCCCCTCTTCTTGAAAACCCTGGTTGAAGCCAGGGCGACTGCCAGTCCTTTGTGTCTGCAGTAAGTCTCTGAATGCCTCTTGGTATTCTGATGGGGCACTGCCTTTGTTTGACCTCCTGGGGTCTAAAGTTCCAGCAAAGCCCAGGGAAACAGTGTGTTACATCATCCCCTCTGCAGAGTGCGTGATGATTACTAAGAGACAAACAGCCTCTTGTCATGAAGTGACCTTGGGACTGCCCTGTGACCTCGCCCACTGACAGGCTGAGTGTCATGCTCTGGGAGACATCTCCATGTCACCGCACAGTGCCTCCAGGGTGATGACCACTAGCAAGGCCTTTGGGCCCCTTCTTTCTGCTCCCCATGTTGCTGTCGTGCTTGGAGTAATATTCCAGAGCCTGCAGAAATTGGTGACATTCTTTCACCTCACCTTAAGCCAGAGCTGATTGCAGATGTTCCCTGAACTCTTCAAGCTGGGCAAGGCCGTTTTTTAACATAGATGTTAAGATTTATAAAAGTAATATAAAACAGAAAGTTTAGAAAAGAACCAAGATTAAAAAGCTATCCATATTTTTCCATTATTATGCTATCATATTATAATCTGGGTGTATAGCTTTATATTGAGTCTTATAATAGATGTCTTATTTTTGTATCAGCATTTTTCACTTTTATGTTGCTACAGTCACAAGTTTTAATAATAACATAATATCCATCAAATGTTTACACCATAGTTTACTTAATATTCAGGTTAGATTTTTAGGTTAAGATCAATGTTTAATCTCATTTCAGTTTAGTGGTAAATAATGCCATGATAAAGATATAAGTGTAGATAATTGCCTCAAATTTTAATTTTCTTGGGCAGAACAGTTATTAAAATTATAAAGTCAAGGATATGACATAACATCCCAATAAACATTAACATTTATCGGTGAGAATCATGACATGTCATTAGCGTCTGTGGACTTGACAGTGGCACCGTCTTCACAGGCGGGGGAGATTGGAGAATCCCTCATTCGCCACTCGTTTGCACATGTGTTCCTCGTTCGTGAAAGCCGTCAGTGAGGCTGGACTTCTCCTGCACACTTCATTTTTGTTTCTTGAGCCCATTCAGTCTTTTCTTTCCACGCAGAGTGCGGAGACTGACTGTTGTAAAGCTGTTCTCTGCAGCGTGCAGGGTTCTGGTGACATGGCAGAGGTGTTGGCAGGTGCTGCACTTAACAGAAGAAGAAGGAGGGGGTGACGAGAGCTGCAGCAAAGCCCAGGGAAACAGTGACAGTTTCCAGATGTTTCACCACAAGTGATCCATTGAAATCACGCTGCAGGAAGCCATCCGTGAAATGCATGTGGAAGCCAGGGAGGGACAGACCTGGCACTGGAAACTGTCCACAGCAATGGGTTGCCCAAGGCCCGTACCTTTCCCTCCACTCTGCTTGGCAGGTTCCTCACAGTAGCTCCAGAGGTGGGCGCAACCCATTAGGAACTGAACCTTTTTTGGAGAAGAACATTCTGTACAGTCCCTGTGATGTTTCCTGAGACTCACAAAGCAGGCCCAGGCCCCTTGTGTCTAGAGGCTCACTTCCTCCATCTGATCGTCTGATCTGGTGTCCATCCTGCCCCTGATTTTGAAACTACTTTCTGTGTTCTGTGTTTTTTTCGCGGTTTTATTTCCCATTCAACCGAGGGGAACCCTATTTCCACCCCCCGCTCTGGATGTGGGCGGGACGTACGATGTCACAGGTAGAGTCAACTCAATTCAGCATTCACGTGATTCACAAAACTTTTAAAAGTTAGATTTATGTAGCCTTATGAAAAGCCAAGAACTCTCAGTGCTCCAGGGTTGAGTCCAGGTCTGCCCTGGGAGGGGCACTGGGTGGAACAGATGACACTGGCCACTTCTGGTCTTGGAGAAGATGCCAGGGAGGCCTGGAGAGCCGGTAGACCACGGGAGCCCAGGTGGCTCCTGCAGACCAGGTCCCCCCTCTGCCTCTGTGCCACTTCGTGGGCAGGAGTGAAGGCTCAGCTCCTGTCTGCACTCTGGTCGGTGGGTTGAATTGTAACAGAACACAAGAAGGAGCGGTCCCTTAGTCTCTCGTTGGATCATTCAGGATTGTTTAAGTGACTGAAATGTGTCATCAAGCAAACAGCTGTGAGGCTCCAGGGAGGAGCCAGGCAGGCCTGTCCCCTGGAGGCAGGTGCCCAGTCAGGTGTCTGTGCTGATTCCTGGAAACAGGCGCGCACAGCGCTGTGCACTGTTTGTTCTGTCACCACAGGTATGGCAGACCAGCCCCTGCCCACCATTTTGAAGCCAGCACAGGGCCCATCTGGCTGGACGACGTCCACTGCTCGGGAAGGGAAGCCAGCTTCCTCCAGTGTTCCAGGGGCCCGTGGGGCCGGCACGATGCAGTCACAGGGAGGACGTGGGCATCACCTGCCACCTGGGCAGCAAGGGGCGTGGCCTGCACCTGGGTGAGGGCTGGCAGTGCACTGAGTCTGCAGGTCACAGGGCCACTGCGTCCCCAGCCCCTGCTCCAGAATGTGAAGTGTTTCTTATCGAAGCTGGGTTTTTTTTGTTTTTTTTTTTTTTTTTTAAGAGAATGAGAGACAGTGAGAGAAAGGGGGAGAGAGAGAGAATTTTTTTAATATTTATTTTTTAGTTCTCAGCGGACACAACATCTTTGTTGGTATGTGGTGCTGAGGATCGAACCCGGGCCACACGCATGCCAGGTGAGCACGCTACCGCTTGAGCCACATCCCCAGCCCCTCGAAGCTGGTTTTTAAAGTCCATTCTCTCCCCAAAATCTCCTGAGTCTCTGCACTAATGTTATGAAATTTCTACCCATAAACTTGTTTTCTGTTACTTACAAGTGTATGTTTCTCATTTAATAATCACATGTTCCTCGAAGGTGGAAGAAGCTGCATGTTCACCCACTGTCCCTCAGTCACCTGTTCTGATTTCCTTGAGTTGGATGAGCTGCTTTAAAAGAATCATTACTCTCTCCCCTGTGTCATGACTGATTTCCTCTCTGGTCCTGAGGCCTGGTCAGTCCTTGGTCACCAGCCAGCTGTTGCCCTTTGAGTTCCCCAGTGGGTTTCCCAGCAGATTCCTTGAAGGTCCTACCTCCATCATCCTAAGAGGCACAGGTGGTTCTAGAAACCACAGGAGCCTTTCTGGCTCCCCGGTTACAGATTTGTTCAGACTTGCATTTGGATAAGAGGTAGCTAGCTTCTCTAATGGTCCGGAAGTAGCTATGGTAAAGATCTGGTGGGAACATTGGCAGTGAGCCACTCCTGAGGAGCTCTGCAGGTCTGACAGGAGGCAGAGTAGGGCCTCGTTCCAACCTCAGGATTGAATCGACCCTGGTTCTTCCTGTTTTGAAGCTGTGAGGTGGAATGCCTTGTGTGATGGTGTCATGGACCGTGTTGAAGCCACGTGGCAGATCTGAAGCCTGCCCAAGTGTTTGGCAAACCCTGATTGTGCTCAGAGGGTGAGACGCCGACTCACTGCCCTGGTGCTGCACTTTCGGGAGGTTTCCGTCCTCCGTCCCTCACAGGCCCATTTCAGTCTCTTCTTAGTAGTTCTCTCTTCCCCCACCTCTTCCTACGGAGGGTTTTCCATGCCTCAGGATGATGTGATGCAGGATTGCATTTAGTTGGTGAAGACAGAACCTGTTTGCCTGTAGGGAATCTTCTGGCCTCAGGGAGCAGATTTGGGTCATGGAGTGATCCATTCAGTCTTGTCCATCAGTGCTGGAGACATCTAGAAGATCCTAGTTCTTGGAAGGCCCGTGTTGCCCATTGTTTAGTTAGAGCAACTAATGTCTTCAGGTCTCCGGGAAATCATTTTCATTCTAGAATTCTAGACGTGTCTAAATGTTTTTAAAGCTGAGGGTGGTAATTGTGGATCAACTGTATGATTGTTCTTGTGACTCTCCGCGATCCTAATCTCAGTGGTTGGTCTATTAACTAAAGCCATCTGTTTGAGGAACATTGTCTGGCTCCCCAGACAATGAGACATTCAGTGAGCCAAATGTCTTTGGGGATAGAAAGATGGAGCCTAACCTTCCCGCTTACTAAAACATATTGTGTTGAAGGAGAAGCTTACAGAGGAGATTTGGGGATGATGATATGAACAGCGTTTAGAAGCAGGGAGATGTTTCGCCTCTTGGGCACCATGGTAGTTAACGAGCACTGAACCGTGATGTTCATTCAGTGTGCACAAAACTCTTCCTGAATTAGTTACCGCTTTATGGACACTCTCTGTGGTGGACAGGATGCCCGAAAGCATCATTCCTAGGCCAGTTGGGGAAACTTCAGTAGGATGTGTTGTTCATCTTCACATGAGGTTAACTGTGGAGTTCAGAGAATTAAGTCCTGGTGAAATTTCCTTAACAACGAAGTTGTCTCTGAAGTCTTACAGTATAAAACTTAGACTTTTAACTTGTATCTGTGATAGATTTTACTTTTTTTTAGGACACGTTATTATTTTCTATAAACAATGTATCAATGTTATAGGAAGAATTAAAGTAAACTACTTGGAAATCAGTTTGAAATATGTAATTAAGATATTGTGTACCTTTGGGATTGTCAATCTTCCCAAATGGTTTATACTTAAGATTTTAGAAATAAAGCATGTTACATATTATTATAACTGTTCTAACAAAAAGAACTTTGAGTATATTTGTAGAATTACTTTTGCATTCCAATTTCCCTTCAAGATTTGAAAGTCCAGTGATGTTGTAAAATGACTAAAATCAGGTTCAGAAATGTCATATGCATTATTTTTACAAAATATGCCATTTGGACTTTTAAAATACTTTATTATTTTTATGTTTAGCATCTATAAAAACATTCCCTGAAAGTGCTGGGATGGAACATGAGATCTAGTTCCATGTGTGCATGTTGTCTTAATGTTGAACGAAGGATCCAAAACTGTGAATGTTGAAAACATTAAAAATTTTATCGGTTTGAATCTGGTCTTTCAGGATCACTTTTGTACCTGAATTCTCTTGCAAAGAACCCCAAAGTATCCAACACGTTAATGAGCTGTCATTTTTTCAGTGTTCTGTTTTTCTGTGTTTGGAACTGAGGCTGGACCCACTGCTGCACCCTCAGCCTTTGTGTTTTATCTTGACACAGGCTGGGCTGCAGCTTGTGGTCTGTGCCTCAGCCTCCTGAGGCAGTGCATCAGGTGCGGCGACTGCACCCAGCATCTCAGGACTCGCTGAACTCCGAGTCTCTTCAGCTACTAGTGAGGAGTGCACAGATGGGCACTTGGCCAGCACTGCTGCTGTGGTTCTGCTCTGCAGTCCCATGCTGGGCCTGCCCTATCTGGGAGTGGAATCCATCCAGGATGGGAACCAGGGAGCCAGCAGCTCTAGGCCAGAGGATGGAGAAGTGGAACCAGATCTGAGGAGCATTGTCCATCTTGCGGACAGCGTGTTCTTTCAGCTCACATAGGTAGACTTAGTAGTTCCATGGGTCACTTAAATGTATTAGACGGAATCTTGTTTACTGGCTGTCTGCTCTGTCCTCTTTAGTTCTCCTGATAATTTTGCTTGCTTCATTGTGGAATCCTTACCATTAGATTCTAAACTAGGATGGTCTTCCTAGGTAATCAGATGTGTGTGTGTGTGTGTGTGTGTGTGTGTGTGTGTGTGTGTGTGAGTTTGCTTCCGTTGCTGTGACAAAGTACCCCACATTGTGTGGCTAAAGCAGGGGTCTTTACTGCCTCGGTGCTGGAGGCCAGGAGTTCAAGGTCAAGGTCTGGGCAGGCTGGTCCCTGGAGAACGAGCACAAAGGGAGCAGGTGCTGGGCTCTTCTCCTGGGCTTCTTGGTGGCAGTCTTTCTGTCTCCTCCTGCTGCCCTCCTTCCGTGTGTGACTTTGTGTCCAGACTTCTGTTTGTAAGGACAGCAGTTGTACTGGATTCAGTCCCCTAATGGCTGCTATTCTGTGTGAAGGTGTGCAAGTCTTAGGGTGTTAAGTTACACCACATTACTAGTGTGGGTAGAAAGAGGATGCTTCACAGACCATTTCATTTGCCTGATTTAAGCCTCAATTTGCTAGAGATAAATTTCTCAACTTTGGAATCTCAGTAACTTTTCTGACTTAGGTCCTCCCCTTGGAATCAATAGTAAGCAAAGAGCATTAGGTAGAAATTACCTGTCAGCCACTTGTCTTTCCCTCCTCTGGCTTTAGACCTGTTCAGGTTACCCATGTTTGTAAAAAGACACAAAATAAAAACAACTCTGCATTAATGTTATTTACTATTCCAAAGTTGTAATAAAATAATTCATGATTTTATTGTGCTATCCATCCATTTATTTGTCTATTCATTTGATTATTCAACAAATAGCTAGTGCATGTCCTCAGTGTCAGCCTGTTCCCAGTGCTGGGGACACAGTTTAGTAGAGCTTGAAAAGGTGACCAAAGGGCACACATGCTGGCTTTTATTGCTCAATCTTTTTCTCTCAAAAAAAAAAAAAATTGCCCCTGATTCCAGGCTGATTGAAACAGTTGTATTTTGTAGCCTTTCGTGCTTCTACTCAAGTTGGCTTGTTCTGATACCTTTGAATTGTGAAACCTTTTCTGATACCTTTGAATTGTGACTTAGGTTTTCCTGTCAGACTGGTGGATGGAGAAAATGAGAAGGAAGGACGAGTGGAGGTCTACGTCCATGGCCAGTGGGGGACAGTCTGTGACGATGGCTGGACTGACGAGGATGCGGCTGTGGTCTGCCGACAGTTGGGCCATAAGTAAGCAGAGCCTGGTGGTGGTGGTGGGGGGGCCACTTGGGAACAGTGGGGGGGTCTTCTAGCTCCTCCAACAAGTCACACCTCACCTGGGACCCGTAACCGCCATTCAGCCAAGACACGGCAACGTGCTGAATGGCCCCAGAATTACAAAGGAGTAGGAAGTAGAATCTAGTTAAATTTTTCTGTCTTCTCTCAAGAAGCTACATCACATCACATAGGAAATGCGGCTTTTGAGCTAGTAACAAGTCAAATAACTACTGCGGCTTATGCTGGCCACTCAGGCACCCATGTCAACCTTTCCCTTGTGATTATCGGGTCCACGCTGCCACGTTGAGAGACCCTTGTCCTGGTTCTTCTGTTCCAGGAGTTCTGGAGGGCCAGTCCTGAGTTCTTCAGGGCTGAGGCTGGTCCTGCCTCCCTGTTGAGCCATGCTCCACGTGGTTGTCTTGCTTTGCCACCTCTTTTGTGCCTTTATTTTATTATTTCACATTTTGCATTTCTGTGCTTTCTTGTCAATGATTCACTCTTGAAAACAGCTCAAGGGCCATGCTGCACTACCATGTGGTCTCCCTTATTGCAGGAAGACCTGACGGGCCTCATGGAGAATGTGTATGCTAGACCAGCCTCTCTGGGCGGGAGTCACAGTGAGGAAGAAAGGGCAGAGCAGGGACGGCCCTGTTCACAGACGCAGGGACACCAGAGCCGAGGCCTCCACCATAGGCGGCCCTCACCACGGTGTGGCTCGGGCTCTTCCTGGCACAACTCTCATCCATCAGACATGGACCGCACCTAAGCAGTTGTGAGGATGTGGGCAGCCACCTCGTAGAGGCTGTGCAACGTGAGCTGGTGAATGTGAGCTGCCTGGCTGCTGGACGACTGGCGTCCTTAAGTCTTATCTGCGTGTGTCTTCAATGCCGGCCAGTTCAACCCGTCACTTCTAGGAGGCATATATTTTACTTTAAAAAGTATTATATTTTTACAGACTTTTAACCCAGACTTGGTGTTTTATATTGTGTTGTTAGATGCTGCGTGTCTGATCCAGAGTTGGTGGTTGTATTTTGTGTGCTGTGTTGTTAGATGCTGCGTGTCTGATCCAGAGTTGGTGG